AAAAAAAAGGCAAAATATAAAAGTAAAAACAAGAAAAATGAAAGTTTTTTTCCCCACCACCACGCTTCACCTTCACCTTCCTTGCTGAAACCACCACCACCACCACCACCTTTCGCCAATCACCACCTTCTGAAAAAAAAAAAAAAAATTGAATCAGTTAACAATTCCGTGCGTCTAAACTTAAAAAAAGTTTACTTTTAATAAATAAACTTATCATGTTAAAAACTTAAGATTATCTTATAGGAAATAAAAGATTTTTTATAATACAAAAATTAAAATAAATAAGCTATTTGTTGTAACAGAAATGATTTAATGCTCATGGCAGACCGTTCACTGTGAGCATGACAACATATGGGATTTCGACTTCCATGATGAGCATTATATCCATGCCCACTGTAGGCACTAAATTAAAACCGATTGTTGTAACTTGTAACAATAAGCTAAGCTTTTCATTTTTTTTTTTTTAAAGAAAAATCCTTTTGCTCAAATAAAAGAAAACGAAGAAAATAGGCTGTCCAAAGGAGATTTTTTTGGGTTTAGCCGTAGGCCCAATCCAAATATTGTTCCATTTGTTACAAAAGTCAAGATTCTGGTTTCAAACCGGATGTTTTCCGTAAATAAAGGTTAAGAATTAGGAGGCGACGAAACATTATCTAAATCACTCCTCTAATTTGTTTTTCATTTTTTTTAATTAGTCAATACACATACCTATCCCAATCGATGTTGGATAGTACATTTTAAAATTAATTAATTGAAATCACTGCACAAGATAATATCATCCCCACACGTAACATTTAGAGCCTCGTTTGATTTAAACAAAAGTTAGGATTTTATTAGATTATGATAAAAGCTAATAAAATATATGGTTAAAAATTGTTGATTTCATCATATTATGAATAAAATTAATTATTTATTTTGACTTAAACTTTTAATCTAAATTTTTAGTGGAACCAAACTAAGTACTGTTGCAACAGTTACAATTGAGTTTGGCAAATTGTACTCCAATCATTGAAAAATACTTACTCCAGCATCTTCATGGCCGTACATTATTTACGTGTGCCGACCTTATAGTCACCGCCCTTTTGTTCTCTCTTTCTCTCATCTCCTTTCGGTTGCTTGGGATTCAATTTTTCTCTTTATTCATCAATTCTTTTATTTTAATTTTATGTCTTGTTTGTTTAATGAGTACATTGTCGTGTGATGAATTCAAGAACAGGCAATATGGTGACAAAATCAAACAACTATGGGAAGATTTTGCAATCAGATCAAGCTGATCAAGAAGAATACTCCTTCCACCTGAGAAACAGATCGGAAGCCTGCCCGGCATATGACGACCACCCTCCTCCAGTAGGCTCCGATCATAGCTCCACAAACAACACTCCATTGGAGCAATCCTCTCCATTTTCAGGACCCTCTTGGGATTCTTCATTTCCAACCTCCTCTTGGGACCAATCTCTATCATCATCTCCATTGTCGAAATCTCCATGGTCATCTCACGTTGCATCGGGAAACCATGAGAATTATTCTTACACAGGCTTAATGGGGTCCCTTGTTCGTGAAGAAGGCCATATTTATTCATTGGCTGCTTCAGGGGACTTGTTGTATACGGGTTCAGATAGCAAAAACATTCGAGTTTGGAAGAACCAGAAAGAGTTTTCTGGGTTCAAATCAAACAGTGGTTTGGTTAAGGCTATTATCATTGCGGGGGATAGGATTTTCACGGGTCACCAAGATGGTAAAATTCGGGTCTGGAAGGTATCTGGGAAAGATCCTAGCATTCATAAACGCGTTGGTTCATTACCAACGTTGAAAGCTTGTATAAAAAGTTCTTTTAAACCCAGCAATTACGTTGAGGTTAGAAGGCACCGCAATTCTGTTTGGATCAAACATTTTGATGCAATTTCATCTCTGACCTTAAACGAAGACAAGTCACTTCTGTATTCAGCTTCATGGGACAAAACATTTAAGGTCTGGAGAGTTTCAGATTCCAAGTGCTTGGAATCAATCAACGCACACGATGATGCAGTAAATTCAGTTGTTTCCGGGTTTGATGGGCTGGTTTTCACCGGTTCAGCCGATGGATCTGTCAAAGTATGGCGAAGAGAAATGCAAGGAAAAGGGACAAAACATTTCTTTTCACAAACATTATTAAAACAAGAATGTGCAGTAACAGCCTTGGCTGTTCACCTGTCGGTTACTGTCTTGTACTGTGGATCATCAGATGGGCTGGTTAATTTCTGGGAAAACGATAAGTTTTTTTCTCACGGCGGCGTTTTGAGGGGCCATAAACTGGCGGTTTTGTGCTTAGCCACAGCTGGGAATTTAGTTTTCAGTGGATCAGCTGATACAAATATTTGTGTATGGAGAAAGGAAGAAGACGATCATGTTTGTTTATCGTTGTTGAGTGGACATACTGGACCAGTAAAATGCTTGGCAGTGGAGGAAGATAAGGCCACATCATCCAGTGATAAGTCCCACATTGTGTACAGTGGCAGCCTCGACAAGTCGGTGAAGATATGGAGGGTGTCGGCTATGGCGGTGCCCATGCAACCACCACTACCACAACAGCAGCAACAGGTGGAGAATTTTAACGCACCACAGACATTTCCTTCAATTCATAGCCTCTCCTCACAAGGTAGCAGAGTGAGCCAAAGGAGAAACTACTGACAGGAGTCACAGGACCAGAATTTAATTTTACGATCGCTCTAATGCCGTTAACTGTACCATCTAAAGTTGCTTACCAAGTTGTGCACTAATTGTACACGTTAGTCAGTAGCTCTAATAAGATAACATGTTTGAAATTGCATGATTGTGAGGGATTATCAACAGATATTGTACGCAAATCATCCCATTTGAAAACACAGCAGAAAAAAGAGACAGGTTTTGCCCTTGGCATATTACACAGGTGCAGCAGACACCATCTGCTGTTGTTAAAACCACTAAGGATTCAAGGCAATAACAAAAGGATGACGCATTTCCTAGCTAATTTTCATGCTCGATCTCCGTAACCCGAATGACATTCTTACTAGGAATGAACTCGAACGAGCAGGTGTCCCCAAAGGCTAATCTATTTGCTTTACGGAATTCCGACCAGCCGGAAGCCATTTCAAGCTTAAACCATCTAGTCTTTGCCCAGTGCAGTGCAACAGACCAATAACGCCCATGTGGATCCTCCAACACCACGGCTTTTTTGTAAGCTAATCCAGTCTCAGTGGCAAATTCCTTATAAAGGGTCTAAAATTAAGAAGAGCAAATATAAGATCCAAAAGCTATCTAAACCAAAATTTGGCCAAAAGATTATGAGGGCCAGTCATTCAGTGAGTAGTTCGTACCACTCGATATCGATGATGTTCCTTCAGAGTTAAATAGAATTGTGGGTTCGTTGTTTCAGCAGAACTTTCAGGTTTATGATCGCAAATAGTCCAAGCCTCTTTCTTCAGAGAGTAGACTGGTTGTTTCCCCTTCACATCTGTTCCCATGAACCAAAAAACGTGATACGAAAAGAATAATATGGATACTATGCTTTCCTCAAACAATAATGTACACAGTTACATATAAAAAGTAACGAAGAAAACAAACTGCGGGCAGAGCGTCGAAGGGGCACTTCTTCAGGTTCAGCATCGTCAGTCTGGCTTTCACCGTCTTCAAATTCCATTTCACAGCCACTTAATCCATATGCTAAGACATTAAACGTCGAGTTATCAACAAGCTGAAATAGTAGAAATGTCCCCATTTTCAGGTCAAGATCCTCAGCAAATTTGACCCATCCTTGGGAGAAATAATGTTCCCCCTCGTCTAGTTCTAATTTCACATTCCACGATTTTCCACTGTTGGTCGTGAGAGTGACATTTTCAGGCAATATTTCACCATAATTCAACACAAACAGAGCCGGCAATCGCTACACATACAGGAAATTCAACAGGCATTAGTTTATACGTGCATGAGACCTCAATTTTCACTACTTACAATCTTGCAAACCACAACCCACCCCACCCCATGAATCCCCTCCAAAAGCAAAAAGAAAAAAAAGAAAAAAGAAAAAAGGAAGAACATGCTGAGAGAGAAAGAGAGAGAGATTACCAATCGAGGAGTGAAGTTGCCAATCAAGACCTTGAAAAAAGAAGGTTTTGGTTTTGGTTTCCTGGCCATTTGTTTTCCAAGAACAGGGATTTTCAGAGGTGAAAGATTTCAACTGTTGGAGGGGGCAAATTTATTGATTTGATGAAAATCTTTTGGCCGAGCTTCTAATAAGAATTATCTGAGCTCTGACTAGACAAATCAATGGTATTGGTTGGAATTTCGAGCGCATGCCATTATCATTTGAGCCACTCAATTAAGGTTATATTTGATGAGAATTAAAATCAAATTTTTAATAGATTTTGATGAAAAAACAAATGGTTGAAAAGTTGTGGATCTTACGAAATGTGTGATTAAAATTAATTGTTTACTTTAATTTAAATTAGAACTGAATTTTTTCTATTTTAATAACTCTTCTTTTTATATACTCATTTTCAATCACATAGTCACACATGCAAGTGAACTCAATTTTTTTTTCATATTTTATAATTGTATATTCTCCTAACAATCACTATTCTGAGCATTATTTTTCCCAAATAAATGCTCATCAAACAGGGGTTTGTAATTTCCACAAAACAGGCTAAGTTTAATTAATAAGATAGCATAATATTATTCTATTACTGGACAGTGCTCATTAACAATCAATCCAAACTGTGATAACATGCCGACTGCTCTATGGGTTCACAATTTTTTCACTATAAATTTCATCAAATTTTATCAATATCTATTAAAAAACTAATGTAATCTCCATCAAACAAGATGAAAAAAGCCCAGACCACAAGATATCAAAACAAAATTTCAAGTTATCTCAAGCAACGAAAGTAAACTTGCAGAAAATCAAAAGATTGAATACAAGCGATTTCTTTCGACCTAAACTCCGGAAGTTTGACGACAAGATTTAATGCCTACATCCCCTATTGAGCATCCAGTAAAATTGGATGTATGCTTGATTGGACTAAATAACAACAAAAGGTTATACATCAGTTCTTCCAACGCAAGAAAGAAGTACAAATCACTTATCATTTATCTCTTTAACAATAAATTGCAGATTCAAGGAATAATCACTCAAGAAATTTCAACACACCTACTAAAACTATTAATGCAAGAAACCTCTCATTCTTACTGCCATCATTCAAAATATTATAGATATCAAGAGGCTAAAACTAGATTTGAGTCTCGAATGAGTATTTCAAGAGAAAAGAGACAAAAAAGGCGATTTTTTCTCTCAAACTGACACTGTCATAAGAAGAAGAAGAAATGGCTGAATTGCCAAGTGAAATGAAACTGTGTGCCTTTTTATCTAATACACCGAATAGGCCAAATGATGGGTCAAGATAAGGACACAAGTCGCCATCCTGTAAAAACGCTTCCATTAGAAAGTTGCATTTCTAGTAATGCGACTTTAACCAAATCTTGGGAACACATCACATATCACAGGTTCTAGCATCAACAATCTCCACCTTGCTACCAGAAATTTGGGACCACAAGGCAGCCAAGAGCAACAATAGCAACTTAGTTTTCATTTGCTCCAAGTACTTGTTTATATATTATAAAATATCAATAGATAATAATTTCAAACAATTTTGAAATTGGTTTAAAACTATTATTATTTTTCCCATATTTGAATGATTAAATTGGGTAGAAACCTTACCAATTTTCAGAATTTATTTTGAAATAATATCTCCAATAAATGATATTTAATGTCTATGTGTTTAGTTCTATCAAGGAACATGAGATTTTTTCTTAGATATATGACACTTTAGTTGCTAAAGAATTGCATTTTCATTTGTAAAACCAAAATCACTCAACAGCCTATTCAACTGGATACCTTCTTTAATAGCATCGGATGCAGCAATGAGTTTTACTTAAGTTGAGGATAAAGCCATAACCTTTTGAAATTGAAATTTCCAACTAATTATAGTACCACATGTTCGCGAAATTATTTGTTCCAATTTAAAATCCACCGCAAGTGTACGGTTCGTTAACAAGTAGTAAAATGGACTACGAGTCCAAGTATCGATTCCACAAGGATTGAATTAGTTCAACTTAAGCTATTATGATCTTAACCGAAACACGAGAATCAAATTGACGTTTTGCACTTTAACTAAAAAGATGTAAACTTTAATGCAAGTATGAATGAAAAATTATACTAAATGCAAAATAACTTCGATGCAATTTAACTCGAGTTTATGGAATTAATGAATATACTAACGCACTAGGATCACGAATCCCCAAGCAATACCTGTTCAATTTTCAATTATGCAAATTTGACACACAGTTCCACAAAAGATTAATCAATATTCGTATTTTAATTTAGCAATCTTTCTCGAACAATGTCAAACCTATCCCAATATATGATTCGACTATATTTCTATGACGAATACTAACATACCGAAATGCATTATAAATTCATGAATATCCAATGATTCACATAAGGCATAGAGGTATATTTCTATCCCATATAGGACCCTATGATAATTTATACTATGTCGAACCTATTTTCGTTCTTTTGAATGCATAAAACAGGTCACTACAATCATATAATTACGTTTAAATACGTCAAAAATCCAAATCAATAATCAAACGTAGTATTACAAGATTCATCGATATCCTAGCAATGATAAATCTAGTCTAATATGCTAAAAAGAAGAAAACATAAAAATATTTGAAGAAACGTGATCACCCGAATCAATCTTCAATCGAATCTTCACTTGGCGCGATGTTATTTTCTTGTTCTCTCATTGTTTCTCCTTCAAAATCTCTCAAAAACTTGTAAAAAAGGCGTCTCTTACTTTCTGGTCGAGTTTTTGTTTATATAGGGTCCTAAAAATATTGGTTCCATAAGAGTTTTGGCGGAAAAAGGAAATTACGTTTTTGCCCTAATACTGCTCTATGGGGTCGCATAGAGTAAATTTTTTTTTTGCCTTTTTGTCTTCGGTATGCCTCTATGCGACCGCATAGAGGGTATCACTATGCAGTGCTACCAACTATGGAAGATGTGTATTTTGGTCCTCCCACTTGACACTTTCACTTCTTGGCATCTTCTCTTCATTCTTTTCATTTCATCATCCCAAGATATCGTCAATTGGCAATTCATTTAATTAATTTCTCGATTTGTTCATTGGGTCAACTTTTGGATAATTGCACCTTAGCCCCTGAACTTTCGCTTCGCGTCATTTTAGTCCTTTTTCACGTTTTTCTCCTGAATTTTACCATGTTCATCGTTATTCCCTACAATTCATAAATATAATGAGATTAAGTCACAATTCAATCATTTTGCTCATTATTCAGTCATGTTTGTAATCTAAATAAGTGTGCAAAAACACACTTGTCAAACCCCCCCAAACTTGAACTATTATTTGTCCTCAAATAAGATAGTGACTTAATTCTGAACGAACATGGCTTAATATCCTGTTGTGGCTCAAGATTGGACTGAGTATTTGACTTTATAAAAATTTATCTGTGCAAACATGACATCAACCTTTACCTGTTAAATGCAAATTGACGTGTGTGTGAATCCATGCTAACATATCAGGTTCATGATGAATTTGAGTCCCGACCCCAAGTGGTCAAATGTATCCTTACTCTTTCGAGAGATACTCAAACCCCCAAACTTATTCTTTTCACTCAATTATCCCGGGGTTGTGTCTTAAAATTAGGAATTTATATAGCTGCAGTCCTCACCCTCTCGTAGTTTGGATTAGTCTTACTATCACAAGTTTACATTTCAACAAGTGAAGGCTCTCCTAAGTTTGATTGCTTCGACATTCAAAATTAAACTAGATTACTTGCCTCGCCTCAGAGGTATAGTATCATCAACCAAATGTCTAATGGTTTTTCGTCATGTTATTGCCTCTCTTTTGTTTTTCTCACATTTCTTTAATTTCTGATTGATTGTCATCTTTGTATTTGCTTTCTATATAACCCATGTAACGAGTTTTAAGTCGGTGATTCTCAAACCAGTTGATTTTAGGGCATCAGGTTTTAAACCCTTGAAAGCTTATTCACTCGAGTTATAAAGGCTCGATAAGATGACTTTTTATTAACTTCTTTCCCTCTTGCTTTCTATATGACCCATGTATCAAGCTTTGGACTGGTGACTCCCAAACTAGTTGGCTTTAAGGCACCAAATTTTGAAATATCCTTACACGCTTACTTGCTCGAGTCATAAAGGCATGAAAAGAAGCGTTTTATTCTCACATATTAATTTTGTGCACTTTGTTATTTTTCTAGACATTTAGTTTCTAAAATCAATCCCCAATTTAAGATTTTCACCTACTCTTCATCCCACTGGTCTAGACAATCCACACAATAAATTTCATGCACGGAGTCCCCGCTCATCTCAATGCTTTCCTATAATAGCTTAACTATCGCCAAACTATCTTAAGGTAGTTTATAGGTTAATTCAGTAGAGGGTTATCATTCTTTTCCTATGTTATGTCCAAAATTCAGTAATTCTCCTAATATGTCAAGCATGAATAGCGTGCGTAGATAATGTCAAGTGTTGCATCAACAAGTATCAGTTAGTCTAATTAACACCAGATCCAAAGTTTTGCAGTTTACACTAATCCAATAATATCATCATAGCTAACAAGGTTATCAAGCCTACACAAGCATGCATGAAGATAATTTAAAACAAACTGAATAAAATGCAAATTTTTTTTTATTTTTTTTATAACACTCATCATGCACACATTATGCAGTAATGTAAATCAGTGGAAAATAAATAATGATGAACACAGATAGAGATTTAAAATTATGTCACCCTCCCCAAACTTAGTTAATATATTGTTCTCAATGTAAGATTAACAAAAACTTAAAGACATAATTTTAAGAACACAATGAAGAAGAAAATCAAAATGGGGGTAAACAGTACTCCCCTGATCAAAATGGTGGCGACAATGGGTAGCTGGGTCCGGTAGCATCATCTCCTGGAGGGGACGACAGGCGGGATAAAATCTCTCGCAATATGACAGACTGCTGGGTCTGCTCCGCCTGCATGGCTTGAACCCTGGTCTCCAAACTCCCAAGACGGTCCCACATTTCGTTTACCCGCCACTATATACCGTCCATCCGGCCAACGTATATGCCCAAACGCCCGTCAAAGGTACACATCTGTCGGCGTGCCGAGAGGGATTTATTGCTGGCAGTGAAAGCGAAGTTTCGTGCAGATGTCATATCTGTCTACACCTACTGGATGGTGGTAGTCAGTGCCCCAAAGGAGTGCTGAAGCTACTGTATGTCTCGGCTATGTCCATTCATAGTGGCAAACATCTGCCTCAATAACTGGGTGTCCACGTCAGCC